AGGTTGATTCTTGTTTAATAAAATTTCTACAATAAAAAAAAAGTGATATCAGACTTATTTATTCGCTATGTTAGCTAGCATCGTTTAAAGTATTCTCAATTTTCTAAATTTATTTTTAATCTTTTTTTTCATGTCACCTTTTAATTAATTTCACTTACAGCTGATGATCCTTCAAATTTTTTTTTTACTGCACCATATAGTAAATTATTTATTCGAGATTCACAAATTTATTTTATTAAAAGAAAAAAGTAAGTGACAGTATGGTGAGTATTCGATTTTAGTATGTGTAATAATTAATACTGAAGCATACTAAATTCAAAAATATTTAATAAATATTAATTGAGGTATTATATAACATTGCATTGTTATTATTATTACTGTTCCTTTTTTTAAAGATTATACACGAGGTGAAAACAAACCTAATCAATTAATCAATTTCGAATGCAAACGGTTCAAACCGAAGAAAATGAAGAAAAGAAATTAAAAATACAAAATGAAAACTAAACGAAATGCATACATACCGCGCTTAATTCCAAAGCTAAAAAATAACTAAAATAGCCAACAGTAATTGCCGCAATTCGCCTAAATAAAAGTATATAATAAAATTAAATGAAAGGTAAAATTAAAATAAATCTTTATTATGCAACCTGAAATGATCCCTAAAAAATCGTTTAAATAAAAACGAAAAAAACAGAATTAAAAAATAAAATCATTTTAACAACAATTTAGACAGACCCTCTCCATCACGAGTCTGAAAAAAAAAAATCAATACGAAAAAAGGAAAGGAAGAAAAAATGAAATCATCCCCGATAAGTTAGGATCGCGAATTATTATATATAAAAATAAATTGTCAGCTCAATGCGATCGTTTTCATTTCTATTTGGTAAGAATATTGTTGGATTAATAAGAATGCCATGCACAACCCTATTTTTATTAAAGGAAAAACTGCAAAAGCTTCACTGATGGCAAAATCTATTAAATTCTCTAATATTAAAATATATTTTTAAGAATTCCCTTTTTGGTAAATAACTTTAATTAGCATTTTTAGCATTTATAATTTGAAGAAAGAATTTTCAGCACCTATTAAGCATAGCATTTGGTTTGGAGGCCGGGTATACATTAAAACCGCTGTGAACGCTTTTCCCGTAAATAATAGTATATAAATTATTTGTGAAATAAATATTCTGCTATCAAATAATTACAGTATTTTCATTAAAGCACGAATTTGCCATTTGTAAATAATTTGTCGATGGTATACATATCAAAAATCTTTAAAACGAATTTATATATTTACTAATATATAAATTTATATTCATTAACCGACTGTTGTATTCATTTCTCTAGTTTATGTATTTATAAACAATTTTAAATGTAAACAGAAGGTTTTATTGAATAAAAATGAAGTAATATTGACGCTAAATTCATTGAAGATAAGTGAAAGTTTTTAAGGTTCATATATGCAATTATAACGAGGTCGAGTGTGGTATATTGAGCTGTTTTAGGATTCCAGCTCATAAATATAAAAAAAAATAATTAAAAAAGACTTATATCCTACAAACCTGTCAAATTGATCCACAAAGGACTAACTGCAAATATCGGAAAAATTAAAAGAATTTTTTTTGTTTAATTGAATTGGATTACATTGACTTTCACAATTTCCTACTACGCAAATTTAGAAATGAATAACCTGCTTTAAATTTCATTTCCATTATTGCAACTAAAAATGACACCTACTTTTAGTGGGCCGAATTATAAAATATAAAACAGACATAATTTTAAGTGATGCTAACACTTTTACTCCACTTTCTATACAGTCAAATATGAATGAATTGAATTTGATAAATATGGCGACAATATAGTTAGAAAACAAAATCTAAGATTTCGTGTATATGTATCCATACTTGATAATTTGCCTTCTATAGTCAATAGAATAACCAGAAAAAAGAGTTAAGTTTGTCCGATTAAGTAAGTTTGTTATTAAATCATGTTGCAGTTCATTCTTTTTACTATTTCTCATAAAGATTTTAATAAAGAAAGACCCGTTGGAGTTGCAGATTGATTAAATAAATCAAATAAATTTTCATTAGGACTTCTAAAAAAACGTAAAATAATAATAAAAATATAATTTATAAGAGAGAAAGCGAAAGTGTCTACAGCGTGATAGACGGCTTTCAAATAAACATTTCTAATTATTTAAATCAAGGAGCTTGCCAATCAACATTAATGAAAATGGAATTAATACAATTAAACATCAAAGTCGAAATTACAACAATTTGTATAAGAAGAATTTGAAAATGTTGTAAAAAGACATAAGTTTTCTTCTTCCTCCTCTAGAGGTGGTAGTGTTGGTCTACTATCGTCTTAGCCTGTCATATTGTCTATTGACATATAATTGGATTTATTATCAAGGTATATTGAGCTGAACTGACTTTTCACTAGGTGTTAACAATTGTTATATTTTGGGAGATTAAATCACTCTTAAGGTGATTTTGTCAGAACCTGTACAAGAATTGAGGGCCTATATAAGTTTGGAACTATATTAAATCCTTTAACATAGAACCGTAATTGTTTGATAGTGCTAAATTAAATAAGGCTTTTTCGTTAATTATTTAATGAAAAGCATCGTAATTCCAGCAAATATTATTGCTAATTTTGTTAACCTGGAATTGAAGCGAAACTATATTAACCTGCAAGGATTTAAATCTAACTAATGCCCGTCCTAAAATAACAATTTTGCGAATTTTAATAAAATTCAACGGTTTTAACAGGATATTATATCACAATCGTAGAATATAAGAATAGATTTTTCTTTTTTTTGCTTTTTATTTTAAATTGGAACAAAAGTTCCAAAATAATACGTTATTTATCGAATAAGAAGCACAGGAACTTGTTGAAAAATTAGAATTACCAGTGATGATTTTTCAAATGAAAGTTTAATGGACGAAGAAGAAGATAGGAATTTTGCCATGAGTTTAAATGAAGAAAATACTAATTGGGAGATAAATGATTTAGATGAAGAATAAATTTAATTCAATTTTAATATGTAAATTTTATGATTTTTTTATCTTTTTTAATATTGTTGTATTCAGTTCTTTCGTTTATATGTTTATAATCAATTTTGTAATGTAAGCAGAAGGTTTTTATTAAATAATTATTGAGTAAAAATGAAGTAATTGTGGACAAGTATTTATTTAATAATATCAAGTTAATCAGTAATGCCTTAAATTCAACGCTCTACACTTTCGATATGTCAATATATCAAACTAAGTAAATGCATTCAATAAAGCTTCTAATTAATTAAAACTGCGTAATTACGAACAATTACAAAATATTGAAAAATAAAATAATATAAACGCAGCTATAAATACGAAATCTAAAAAGTTAAATACGGCGAAAGCGAAAATGTCGCGAAGGTGTTAAAGAAAGGATTTCGAGGTATATGTATGCAAAATATAATTAAGGTGAGCGTGGGATGTTTAGTTGCTTAAGGATTTCCGACTCGTATTATAAAAAAAAAAATTAGGCCATCCCGACGCCTTGACAGCCTGAACCATAAATTTTATTAACGTGTAATTGATTAGCCTATATGGAGACACGATAAAGGTTTGAAAGGGGTAAAGATAGAATTTTTTTTTATTACAAGTTTTCGGAATTCTCTTCTCAAAGGTTCGTCAACCATACTCTCCTCAACCAAGACGGACTTTGGATTTATACAAAGAGTCCTTAAACTTTTGCTTCACTATATAAGATAATAAGATAATAAATATAATGATTAATACGAAAATAACAAATAAAATAAAAATTAATAATTAAATAAATATATCAATCTAATAACTATGTATGATAAAACAAATATAAGAACGAAATATAATTTAATACATATTTAATTACATAAATAGGTATAATAATTATTTTTGATATTTTTGACTTTTTTGATACGATATTTCTCATCTGAAATTGCGCCATTGCAACGTAGAAATGTAAATATTAAGTTTCAAAAACCAGGAATGACGATCATTTAATATAATATAAAAATTTGTGGTAAAGAACTTCATTTTCGTAAAATTGCAAATACACTGAGAAAATTTGAAAATCGAGTCATTTAAGAATTTCAATTACAAAAAAAAAGGTAAATACAAATTAAATAAATTTTTGTTAACCAGGAGTTCTTCACTATTTACCATTGATATATTTTATTTAATAACTTTTAAGAAATCGATAATGGAATCACCCTCAATAATTGGCTAATAATAGTATGATGCTCATGCAGCTTCTCCTCATTTTTAATTATCAAAGGAATAAAACTAATATAAAGAATAAAAAAAACTTATCAATTATAAATTTTAGCCAATCAACGCCTCTTTGAAAAAAGGGTGGTGTTGGCTTAAACAATTAACTTTTAATTCAATCCGTCGAATTAAATGCAAGACAATATCACAATCACGCCTATATAGACACGGCAAAAGGCAATAGTAAATGAATTTAAAGATTCCTTTATTGAACTCTTGGTTTACCCTAAAACCCTATCTCGAGTTACTTTGCAACTCAAGGGAAAATACAAGATATTTATATAAAATAAAATACTATAAAATATACGATAACAGCATAATATAAAAGATAAAATAAATAAATAAGTTGAATATAACTACTCTACTAACTACAATTTAATTAACAAGTATAACGACTAATCTATCTAATATATTAAATAGATCAACGATGACCACTTTAGCAACCACTTCGTCAACTTTGTTAATCATTTTGATCACATGACTAATTAAGACGCAGTCAAAGATTATGGCTTCAGTGGTTAAATTTTGTTCACTTGACCGCAATGTACTCTGATCCATTGAATGACTAATCAAATAAAATTTCATAGTTTTGACATGACATTGTACAATCGAATTAAAAACACGCATTTGGTTATAATCTGTTTACCAAAATAATCTAAAATATCCACCGATCACAAAGTAAATTTGAAATATTTTTATTAAGCAGACAAAATGCTTCAACTTCTTGATTGTGTGTGCAAAACACTTGAACATTTGAAAGATCAAGATTTATATTCTTGTTTATTAGTTAATCATCTTTGGTGTTCGAATTTTATAAACACATCCAAAATTATGAAACGTTACTTGGTTGCCTTCCTGATGAATCCAAAAAAATATTGTACGAGAATGGAATCAACATTTCAACACCACATCCATTATATAATTACAGTACATTGAATTTGTCAAGAGTATTTCAATTTATGATATGCTTGCCGAAGTTGAAAATATCACTAAAAATCAAGGCATCACTCCGCAAATGTTACGAATACGGTGGTACAGGAACTCTTTAATATGATTATGAAACAAGCGTCCTTAAAAGAACTTAATTATTACGTTTTAAGTGACATTCCAAAGATCAAATTCTCCCCTGATGCAATCGATTGTTTTAAAAATCTTTCGAACCTTTGCTTTCGTTCAGATATTGATTTCGAATTCTTATATCAGCTTTCTCAAATATGTCATAATATACAATCTGTCTACTTGGATCTTCATGTTATTTCAAAAGGATTGACGGATTTTATTTCCGTACTACTCCTTTGAAAGAATTAATCCCCTCAATAAAGATTCATTCAACCACTTTAACCAAGTTACACATCTATTCATTCTGTAATGCAATCTGTCCAACCGAATCATTATCATTACTTTCAAATTTCATAAATTTGCAAGAACTTACATTGGAACCTAATTATGATATTTCTGTATTTTTTAACACAACTACTTTTTCTCAACTGAAAATTCTAAGAGTTTTAAAACATCATAAACAAGGTCGAGTTAATGTATTTTTACAAAGGAATGGGGAGAATTTAAAACGTTTACATATTGAATTTCATGATAATTCATTGAATTTGGTTATACCAAATTTTTGCCCTAATCTTTAATCATTATATACGATAATCTTGAAACAAGAAGCGGAAACGTTGAAAAATATTTTGAGGGGTTGTAAACGTTTAGAAAGGATTCAACTTTGTAATGGCTTTTTTTATTTGAGAGCAAATGATATATTTGATATTCTCGCAAAATATTCCCCAATAAATTTCATAAGCTAAGATTAAAAGATGTAAAATCAGACATATCTCCTGACAATTTAGAGTACTTTTTAAAGAGTTGGAAGGATCGTATGCCACATAAAAAAATTTTTTTAACCATCAGGTCCGTTTAAAAATGTTTCTAGTGAAAAAAATTTGAGTGCGCTACAGAAATATTTTGATTTAGGCATTGTTGAAAATTTTCGAGATGATGAGATGTTTGATGATTTTGAAGGCCGTGATGTAACATTTCATTATAGGTTACGACGTAGTATTCATTCTATTAGTGATTATCATTTGATGTAGAGAAAATTTTTCCAACACGACAGATAATCTATAAAGATTCACATACCTTGACATCACACCATTATTAAAGAATCTCAACGAGCTATTACACTTGAATCATATACACCACGTATCCTCAGAGGACGATGAAATTAGAGAAGTGAATTGAAACTATTTCCGTATTCTTTATGAACAAATTCATAAATAGCCTGATTCTTAGAAATATCTTAATCAATAGTAGATTTTTAAAAGGGTCTAATCATAATATCAATAAGAGATTTTAATAAATAGAAAGTATTAAATTTGTTGATAAAGTTTCAAAGAACCGTAAATATTTATGTTGGAACCTATAGTTGCACTAATAAAATTATGGTAGTGTATAAAATCGGGAATTGGGTTGATGTTAATAAATTATAAATACATTATGTATTACTTTATTTTATTATATTAATGAAGTAATAAAGATAAAACGTCTTTTTTTGTATTGAATAAATTTTGAAATACAGTAGTATATGACAAAATTACATGATTTTCAAAATAGATGATAATTCCTGCCAGAATTAAAAACATTATGCATAATTTAATCAGCTCTTAATAGATCTTTCCCGGTTAGGTATAGTTACGTTTACTGATCACCATAAAATTGACTAGAAAAAAAATTTATTTTCTGTTTTCAGAACAATTCTTTTCTTTCCTCCGAATAAATTTTTGCAAAATGTCTGCACAATTTCTTTCAAACTTGAGTCAAATTATATTGAATTATTGGATGATGATGATGTATATTATGGTGTTACTGTGGATGTTGGTGAAGATCCTAACGTTAAAATATTCCGTGCTCATATGAATATTTTGTGCTACCGTTCTCCACGATCTTTGGCTTCCAATAAAAAAAGTAATGATAATATCTTGGCACATTTGAAGTTGGCAAAGATTCCACAGGAAATCTTTCATATTATTTTAAAGTAAGTTAAGTTTATCGAATATAAACAAACTAACATATAATATAATAATTTAATATTAAAATAAACTCTTTTCGTAATTTAGATATATTTATGGCGGCATTCTTTCATTTAATGAGCAAGACGTTTCAGATATTGTTAAACTCTTGTTGGCTGCTGATAAACTATGTCTTCAAGAGCTAACTAATTACTTGCAAAAGTATTTGATTGAAAATAAATCCGAATGGATGGAGCAACATTTTGGTATTATTCACCAAGCAAGCTTTCAATCAAATAATTTTCTAGATCTTCAACGATATTGTACAGAATTGATAGCTAATTCACCTGATAACGTATTTAGTCATTTGACTTGTCTTTTCTTTCTGAAAAGTCTTTAATATCAAGATGATTTACAAATGGAAGAAATTGAAGTTTGGAATCATGTATTAAGATGGGGTCTTGCACAAAATCCAACTCTTACTTCGGACCCCGCAACTTGGACTGATGATGATTTTAAAATAATGGAGAATACTTTACAACGATGCTTACCTTTGATCAGATTTTTTAGCTTACAATCTAAAGATTTTTTACGAAGAGTTCGTCCATATAAAAGTATTTTGAAACATCAACTTTATGAAAATTTATTAGCATACCACCTGGATCCAGAAGCTCAAATATCCCATAATATTTTACCTCCTAGAGTTAGGAATTTGGAATCAAAAAATTTGGATTCAAAATTAATTAATATACATATTGCTTCCTTAATTTCAAAGTGGATCGATAAAGTGAATGTTAATAAAGATTTATATTTGCCATATAAATTTGAATTACTATTAAGAGGGAGTCGAGATGGATTTACTCCTAAAAAGTTTCACACATTATGCGATAATAAACCTATGACTGTCACCTTCATTAAAATAAATGGAACAGAAGAAATTATTGGTGGATATAATCCTCTAATATGGAGATCAACTGGTGGATGGAGTAAAGCTAATGATAGTTTTACATTTTCTTTTAAAAATAAGGATAACTTTATCAAGGATGCGATTCTAAGTAATGTTGAAATGGCAGATTGTGCATTATTTTATTACAAGAATTGAGGACCATGTTTTGCAATTGATATTTGGGCGGAGTCATCTAATGAACTAACAGATTATGATCATTGTGGTAGTAAGAAACGTTCTTATGAAAAAATGTTAAGAGATAATGAAGTTACATTTACTATAGAAGATTATGAAGTATTCCAAATTATTAATAAGTAAACTTTAAGATATTTAAAACATTTCGGTGATTTATTTTTTTAATTTTTAGAATTTATGAAGAAAACAATTATTTTTATAACATATTCGATAAAGTTATTTCAAACAACTTAATCAGTCTGTCCACCCGCTTGTTGTTTGAGTCGATGCGATTTTGTTCTGTTAATTTAGTATTGAATCCATAAATTAGTGATGCAATTCGACTAAAAGAAATTTAAGAGAGTATAATTTGTCTGTTATGCACACCTTTGATCGATTAAATCATTTATGTTGCCTTGTGATCACCATACTTATCGCTCCAGACTTCCCAACGGTTTCCGTTACCTAGTTATTAGTCCGGAACGAAGTGAAGGACTATATATTTCTATGCAAGTGTCCCGATGTCCACTCGCACAATTATTGTGTAATTGCACAAAAGTCTAGATTAAGCAAATATCAATGTGAATTTTTTCTTAGTTAAGATTGTTCCGGACTTAACAGCGGTTTCCGTTTCCTAGTAATATACATTATTTTTATTAGCCTAAAGAGGAGTCTAAAATAATAAGTTAAAAAAAGGAATAATTAAATATTAGTATATTAACTAAATACGGCTTCTACAAAGAAAATGTAACTGGTAAATCTCCAAATGTTTGTATATGTAAAGTATTAACTGATTTTATTTTATTATTATGTGTGACACAAAATTATTTTTATTGAAATAAGAAAATTATTCGTTGATGAAATGGGGATTTTAAATTTGGTAAACCAAAAGTTTGATAATTTTCCTAAAATAAGTCAATGCCGTGTGATCAGTCAAATTTTAATATACCATGTGAAGAGTACGTATAAATCCTGTTATTAAACAAAAAAAAAAGGTCATTTAATTATATCTTTCTTTAAAATTTTAATAAATTAACAGTATACTAATAATTCTTCGCTTTGTGTATTTTAAAAACTAAAACATTAAAAAAAATTGTTTTACATAACCTAACAAATAAATTTTTCATTGATTTCCAATACCGTTCGTTTTCGAGATCCAATCCTCAGATATCAGATATGTAAGATTGAGGAAGAAGTTGATGGATTAAATTATATTATAAAAATTTAATTTTTTATTTAATTTATCCACTATTTAGGATATAGGCTGGTACGTTTAGAAATTATTTTGTTATTTTAAAGAAATATTTCTTGGAATATAATCTATGAAAAATATGATTTTTATTTAGTCATCAAAAAAAAAAAAAAAAAAATCTAAATTCCCAATAATTTTATCCTGCAAAATTATTATTGCAAGGTTCAATGAAACATCTATTTTTTTCATATTATTTGTTACTAAAAATCCGAAACTTTCGATCTTTAATTTTATGACTTTCTTCATTTGGGTATACCATTATATTTGTATGTGAATCGATATTTTCACTCATTGAGACATTCTCGGCTTGTATGGTAACATTGGCCAATCGATTTTTACGTCTTTTATATAAAAACACAGATGTTCCAAATAAAATAATAGAGAAAACTAATGCAACTGTGGATAGTAGAACTTTATTTTTAGGGCCTGGCGGTGTGATCGATTGTGATGATGACGATGATGGTGGTGATGATGATGATGATGCAAGTGATGTGTTTGGAGTAAAACTTGTAATCCATGAATAATTTTCTGTATCGAGTATGAAGAGTTTGTTGCTATTTTGACCGTCAGCTCTTTTTCCTGAAAAAAGTTGAAAATAAATTGGGTATTTTTTCTTTTAAAAAAAAAATAATAAAAAAAATATTATACATCCTAAACATACCAAACATGATGAATATATATCTATTTTCGACAAGTTCTGCACAGTGTTGGTTAAGGAGTGGTGGTTCAATTCCTGAAACGACTGGAATTCTCCATTGATTTTTTGTTGTTTCTAATATTACGACATTTGGTACTACATCGATACCGCCGATTATAACAATATCACCATTTGGAACTAATAATAGCAAGTTAGTGAAGTATATCAAGAATGAAAAAAAAGAAAAATAATACATTACTTACGAAGCGTAGATGTATGATATCTACGATGATCTGACATTTCTTTTGGCTGCGATACAGTTTGTCTAGTCCAAGTTTTATCTATCGTATTGAACATATCGAGCTATATACTCTAAAAATTAGTAACTTTCAATTTT